ATCAGGACAGTAACTTCAACTTCAGTATTTTAGGTGTACAGAAACCTCTACTCATGTTGTTAAATGATATACAGCAATATCTTCCATAAAACGTAGTTGATTGATTTGAATAATAATTACTACCACTGCACAAACAGTAAAAAATGATATGCCTACAATTTATGAGTTTAATGTATCCTATGTTATGATAAACTATCAAATTGACTCTGTATTCATTATGATCTGTCAATAGGTCAATTAATGTGTCTTCTCTGTGGGTTGTATACTCTTCATTCTTTATGCAAATTAATTATAATTATAATTTTTCAAAGTTCGTTTATGATTCATTCAAAGCATTAAAATAAATGAGAAACAGAGCGTCATATACCTTTAAGAAATACGTGGGGGGCGGGATTCATAACCCTTTAAAAAACGCCTCCCCCCTATAGGATCCACCCCCTATAGGATCCGCCTCCTTGCTGTGGTCTGCATACAGACTCTATTGGTTTTTTGCAGATTGCAAAGAACTTTAAAGTTACGCCCATCTACTTCCGGTCCATGGGAGCTACGAAGTCCCTCCCCTTCCGTTCGAGCTCCATGGCACACTGGGGCCCTTTCTCATTTCATCAAATCCCCCTCCTCGACTCCTCGGTCCTCCGGTAGTGACCCGGAAATTAATTTCAGCTCGCCATGTTGAAGGACATCTAATTTCTCTAAATGCACTTCGAGGACCGAGGAGCTATAACCGAGGATACACTGATGGGTCCTCCACGGCTCCTTCGTGGATGCATTTCCGGGAACAGAGATGTTTCAAAGAGTCACACAGCCGGACTTATCTCAGCCAATGACAGCTCTGCATGCATCCCCTGGATATTATTTTATTAACTGCTTTCATCGCTATGTGATGTTTCCAGAGAGAACAGCTGTGAGGTCCATGCAGAAAGCAGAGCAGTGTGTATAATATCACTCAGTATAACAGGCCTACTCTCTTTATTTGCTTTAGTTTAGTAGATATCTACAAACAAAGAGTCGATATTTTTCTAAAACCATTTAGTGCTTCACATAATAAAATACACAACGGCTGTAGCCTGATTATATGCTTTAAGTTAGGAGCTGTGCGTGTGTGTGGTGTAGGTGTGTGTGGTACAGTGTGTGCGTAGATTATCCTTGCAAGAATGGAAGTAGTCATCACAAACAGAGGTTGCATGGGACAACTAGTTCCTGAACAGTGTCCTTCACATGCCTTAAATACAAGAGAGGGTGTTACAGTGACAAGATGCAGAAATGCCAGTTCAAAGCAGTATTCAATGTTTAGTTCAGATTAGCTCCATGTCAGAAATGAGCATGCTTGTCACATGTCTATCTCCATAGAGGCTGAATCATCATATTAATCACATAGCTATCATATTCCTAAAACAGTCCTGATGCTCTTCTCGGTAATCACACATCCTGTCATGTTCACAGCTACAGTTGGGATACCTTTGTTATCATGTTACTCTGATATTGGAAGAGGACATTCAGTATTTTCCCAACAGTTTATCACTATCTTCACTCACAGCAGGTTGTACACAGGAGGCCCCTGACTCAATGGAAAAGTACTGGAGCCTAGGGCTGCTCAATTAATCGTATTTTAAATCGCTATTACAATTATGGCTTGCAACGATTACGAAAACGTAATCGAAATAAAACGATTATTTTTTTATTATTATTATTTTTTGGTTTTTCAGTTGAATTATACATAAAGTTCAGGGTAATCAACTGTTAAAAACATACTGTTCACATTTATTTTCTCCAATAAATGGATGTTTTCAAAGTCAATGAATAATCCTGCGATCTGCGGAGGCCTGCTCCCACCTGTGCTGAGGAGGTTTTTACCCCGGAGTCGTCGCGGAGAGACCGAGTGGCTCCACGCTTTGGGCTTGGCCTGCTTCCACCGGGCGTGTGCTGCTGTGCGGAGGAGGATTTTACCACGGCTGGGGCCTGCTTTCCACCTGTCCTGGTTCTGCTGTTGCGGAGGCCTGCTCCCACCTGTCGTGTGCTGCGGTGTCGTGTGCTGCTTGCTGAGGAGACCTTTCACCCCGGGGATCCCACGGAGGGACCGGAGCACTTCCACGCTGCTGCTTTTGCCTGTCCTTTGCTGCTGTGCTGATTTGCCCCAGGAACATCGCGGATACTGTGTGCTGGTCTGGGTAAATGGCCCATATCGGGATTCTGCTGTGCCTGTTAACTGTTTTGGACTATGAGAAGATCTCTAGTCATTCTGAGAAGACTACTGGATTCAGGTCTGTTCTGCCACCTGCAGTGGGCATCCCCTGCAAAGGTGTGGATGTGTTACACAAACAATTACCGGTTGCCTTGTCACAGACAATCTGCTCGACCAAATAGGTTTGTCTTTTTTGTTTTCCTGCGATGATGGTTCTTCAGGACTGCTTCTTAAGCTCAAATCACACTCTCGCAGACTTTTCCGGTGATTCTAAAGTAGATGACAATGTATGTGTGTCGATTAAGAGGACATTTATGTTAAGAATAAGTTCAGTGTATCCACATTAGTTTCCAAATCTATCAGTAAGCAATTCGAATATTTAGCCTTAAATGTAGAAGTGGCAAAGGGGCAACAGGTCATGGTGGTGGGCTGTTACAGACCCCACTCAGCTGTCAAGGATTCCTTGTCTTCGCTAGCAAATCTTTTAATCGCAGCTAGACTACAAGTAAATAGTGCTACTTGGAGATTTTATTTGGGACTGGTTAACTGCAGTGTCAGAGGATTTTAAAAACCTTTGTATCTCTTTAAATGTTACTCAGATTGTTGACAGTCCTACTCGCCCTAACATTAAGTCACCTAGTAAATCCTCCCTAATTGATCTCATTCTAACTAATGTTCCCTATAAATACTCATCTGTGGGAGTATTTGCGAATGATGTGAGTGACTGTATTGTAGCCACAATTAGGGACACTAAGGTTCAACCTCATATTATTATTAAGAGAGACATAAAACATTTTGTGGAGCAGAGTTTTGTTCATGATCTGTTTGGGTTTGATTGGGGGAAAATCGATCTGTGTGCTGATGTAGAAACGGCATGGTCTTATTTTTATCTTGGTTTTATGGAGATCATTGATAGACAAGCACCCCTGCGTACATTTTAGAGTAAAGGGATGAGACAATCCTTGGTTTTCTGCTGAACTGTCTAGTCTCCTTCATGAGAGAAACAAGGCCTGGGCAAAGGCTATAGGAAATCGGGCTCAGAGGTAGAATGGCTGCGTTTTAGGCAGCTAAGGCATAGCTTCATTTCACATGTCAAAAGTGCTAAATCAAAGTACTATCTGTCAGTTACCACAGAAAACCTAAATAATCCTAGGACATTTTGGAAAGCCATAAAATCGATATCCACCGGTGAGATCTGTAATGAGCTACTGAGCTAATGAGCTAGTCCAGGCCTTTGAATCATAGACTGTTTCAGTCACTTTGTGAAGACGGTGGGTCAGAACATAAACAGCTCCTGCTTCACACTGACGTCCGCTGGTTACCCCGAGGGAAGACGTTACAGCGGCTGTTCGAGCTACGCAATGAAGTGAGGGCATTTCTGTCGGAGCACACACACCCACTTGTGGCTATGTTCGACGACGCTGACTGGGTAGCTCGGCTGGGATACCTCTCTGATATTTTCAGCAAACTCAACCAGCTGAATCTCTCTCTTCAAGGTAAAGACACAAATGTTCTTAGCTTGTATGACAAAGTGTGTGGATTCATGGAGAAGATCAAGCTCTGGCAGAGCAAATGTGAAAAAGGGGATACAAGTTGTTCCCTGCAGCTGAACGCATACATTGCTACTGGTGAATGTGACAGAGCTCCAATTGTGAAAATAGTACACACACATTTGTCCAAGCTCAAGAATGAGTTCAACTCCTACTTCCCTGATATTGACAACAAGTCATCCACACTGGACTGGGTGCGTAATCCATTTGTGACGTGCATTAACAGCAGCATTCCCGCCAGACTGCAAGAAGACCTCATAGATGTGTCCTCAGATAGGAGCCTGAAGATACAAACTGTAAAGTCCACTGAGACAAATGTAACATTTGTGATATTGGGCTATATAAATAAACATTGATTGATTGATTGATTGATTGATTGAAGATGAGGTACTCAAGCACACCACTGACAGTTCTGGTGTGGTGTGGAGAAGGAGTATCCTGAAATGGGGAAACATGCCCTGAATGAACTGTTGCCTTTTGGGTCCACATACCTGTGTGAGGTGACATTCTCCGCCATGACCCACATCAAGACTAAACACAGGAACAGACTCAACTTGGAGAATAACCTGGTCACAGCTGTTGCAACAATCTCCCCCAGACTCACAAAACTGATGAGGGAGAAACAGGCTCAAGTGTCACATTAATTGGTGAGTTACTTTTTTTTTTAAGTCTTTAAACAATGGCTATTATAATGTATATGATTAGTTATGATTGAATATGATTTAAGTGTCACATTAATTGTCGCATTGGGTCACACAGACAAAAATATCCTCCTCTTCTCTATCTCTCCTCCTTCCACTCCCAGGTTTCACCTTAGCTACACTACACACACTTCACACACACACACACACACACACACACACACACACACACACACACACACACACACACACACACACACACACACACACACACACACACACACACACACACACACACACACACACACACACACACACACACACACACACACACACACACACACACACACACACACACACACACACACACACACACACACACACACGTATGGGCCGCCGTGCCAATTTTAATGTGGGCCGCCGTGCCAATTTGACTATACACTGCTCTGTCATCTCATGGTGGCTGGTGGCTATCCATGGTGAATGGTGTGTCAGAAATGTAGTCATATTATTAGGCTGTTTTCTTTGTCCTTGTGGTTTGTTGGACTTTATGTCATATTATATTATAATCTGATATATATTTTGTTTCTATAACCTTTGTAGAAACGAAATCTTAAATATTACACCTTTTCTTTGGTTACTTTTATTTCAAACGTTGTTTTAAATTGTAATCTTGACTGAACGACTTTTTACGCATGAGCGTCAGATTACCACCCCGGACTCCCGATATAATGTCAAGCTTTATTGGGTTTAAAGGGCCTGGTCATGTGGCCCCGCCCCCCGGCACGGGTCTGATATGTGCTGCTGCCACCACACACACACACACACACACACACACTAAGGTGAATACTTTAAGAAAAAGTGTTCCCACACTCTTAACACCACTATGGTTTTAAGAGTGTGTGAACACGAAGATGTGATTTGAGAGCATCTGATCTGGTGAACGTTTTCCCACACTCTTCACACCAGTACGGTTTTTCTCCAGTGTGAATACGGTGATGTTTTTTGAGATCACTTGATGTAGTGAAAGTTGTCCCACACTCTTCACAGCTGTAAGGTTTTTCTCCAGTATGAATACGTTGATGTGATTTGAGAGTGTCTGATCTGGTGAAAGTTGTCCCACACTCTTCACAGCTGTACGGTTTTTCTCCAGTATGAATACGTTGATGTGATTTGAGATGACTTGATGTAGTGAAAGTTGTCCCACACTCTTCACAGCTGTATGGTTTTTCTCCAGTATGAATACGTTGATGTGATTTGAGCTGACCTGATGTAGTGAAAGTTGTCCCACACTCTTCACAGCTGTATGGTTTTTCTCCAGTGTGAATACGGTGATGTTTTTTTAGATGATCTGATATAGTGAACGTTTTCCCACACTCTTCACAACAGTACGGTTTTTCTCCAGTGTGAATACGGTGATGTGTTTTGAGAGCACCTGATGTAGTGAAAGTTGTCCCACACTTTACACAGCTGTACGGTTTTTCTCCAGTATGAATACGTTGATGTTTTTTTAGAGCACCTGATGTAGTGAAAGTTGTCCCACACTTTACACAGCTGTACGGTTTTTCTCCAGTATGAATACGTTGATGTTTTTTGAGAGCACCTGATGTAGTGAAAGTTTTCCCACACTTTTCACAGCTGTACAGGTTTTCTCCAGTATGAATACGGTGATGTATTTTGAGAGCACCTGATGTAGTGAAAGGTGTCCCACACTCTTCACAGCTGTACGGTTTTTCTCCAGTGTGAATACGGTGATGTTTTGTGAGAGCACCTGATGTAGTGAAAGTTGTCCCACACTCTTCACACCAGTATGGTTTTTCTCCAGTGTGAATACGGTGATGTATTTTGAGAGCACCTGATGTAGTGAAAGTTGTCCCACACTCTTCACAGCTGTACGGTTTTTCTCCAGTATGAATACGTTGATGTGATTTGAGAGAATCTGATCTGTTGAAAGTTGTCCCACACTCTTCACAGCTGTAAGGTTTTTCTCCAGTATGAATAAGTTGATGTGATTTGAGAGTATCTGATCTGGTGAAAGTTGTCCCACACTCTTCACAGCTATACGGTTTTTCTCCTGTGTGAATAAGCAGGTGGCTCTTTAAATTTCCAGATGCTGTAAAGGATTTGTCACATTGCTGACAGCTGTGACGTCTCTCTCTTCCTTTCAGTTTCTAGAACAGATGGACAGAGAAAGAGAGAAAGTCAATCTAAAAAGCATAAATACACAAGTTATCACAATAAAAACTCATTTAAAATAAACCTTGAGTTAACAAAATACTACTTATCAACTGTTTGTTTTTATTATATTTGTATTATATTTGATACAGTAATACAGCAATATTCTAACCAAAGTATATACCATAGGTGGGGGACTCGAGTCACATGACTTCACTCGCATATTTTATTACTTGAAACATGCTTGACTAACATTGATAAAAGACTCGACTAGACTTTGAATTCATGACTTGAGACTTGACTTAGGCTTGAGACAGATGACTCGAAAGGACTTTACTTTTTAAAATAAAATATTTGCATTGTACTAAGCCCCTAGAGGGCAATGAAAAAAAAAGAGAGAAAGTTCGCAGGAGAAAGTAGGAAGTGGAGCGCACAGGAGACAGCCGTTTCATTGCAGACTGTTCTGTTTATGTGGGCAAATACATACATTATTTGAGATACATTTCAAACTCGGACTTCATTTTAGGGACATTTCGGCCAGGGGTGTAGAGTTATTTGTTCAAGCACCGGATCGGCAAAACATTAGAGTCTGTGAACCAGTCTGCCTTGACCTAAGGCCCAATCCCAAACCACTCCCTCGACCCTACCCCTCCGTGACGGTCGGAGTGAACTCCGTCTGTAGCCACACTCGCAGCTCAACGTCAGATGGAGGGAGTAAACCCACCTGTCAGATGGAGGGAGTAAATACAGCAGCAAGCTTTGGGACGGCCTCCCCTCTCTACGGCAGAAACAGAAAATGCCGTAACTGTATGTAACAATGGTTTCAAATCAGCATCTCTTAGACAACAATTTTAAATTAATAACTAAAATAAAACTCCAAACATCTTTCATTGTGTTTCAAAGCTCTTTTAGTTTTAAACCTGATGTTTATAAGCTTCTTAGTTTTTGCAACGGTCTGTAAATATACACAACTTTATAATAAAATGCACAATTTTACCTTTTTCTAGACTAAACACAGGTATGATCCTAAGTTAAAAACATATGAGGTTATCATGAGGTTGTTAACATCGCAATTTATCAGTGGATGTTTGCTGGAACTAATTTTTAACAGCTTGTTTCCCGACGGACACACACAGCGTGACTACGGTCAGGTAGAGACCGGTCTCAAGTCAGCACTGCTGCAGACTCGCTGTTTGAGGGCTTGATAGCGCACTCCCCCTCCACACCGTTCCACACTCGTTGCTTTGGAACAGCCCTTAATATGGCGGACCCTTCGCGTGAACGCGCAAACGGAGGGGTAGGGTGTAGGGGGCGGTTTGGGAATGGGCCTATGTATTCATGTCTGTGACTCACAGTATTTGCTGCCCACAGCTGTTGGAAAACCTCCTTCACTTCATGAAATTTCTGCAGCACCAGGAGGCAGTAACGTGTAACTCAGCAGAATCTCAGAAGAGCAGCACCAACTGCAAAGAGCTGTGCCTTCACTCTGTTTACCTTCATTAGAACAGCGACCGCAGGCTGCTACGTTTTAACCACGCGCACCTCTATACACACACGCGCACCTCTATACACCAACACAGAACTGCCCAATTATTCCCCCTATTACCCGTTTTATGATTTCAGAGCCCCACTCTCCATTGTTGTTAATGTTGAAAATAAAACCCTAGTTTCATAACCACTGTCTTTTAACTGATTTAAATGCGGAAACTGGGGTTATTCATCAGGATTTCGTAGGACTTGACTTGCTTGACTCTCACCCCAGTAACTTGAGACTTTTGATCCTGTGGATTACATTTGCCTTCTGCAGACCATGTCTGGCCATTCAACTTTCCAAGACACACCTGAGTGACAGCACGAACAGGTATGGCGAGGAACCCCGGCCTCTACGCTGCTACATAGCGAGGCTATGCTAGAGCTACAATGCGATCGGCTTCCTACGAATACACCAAACCACCTGTGCTCTTCGATATTGGATGAAATCCCTCGGGAGCCGCTTAGAAACACCAGGAAATAGAGACGAGGAAGGAGGGGAGGCGTTCAGAATCGCCTACGGCAGAGATTCAGCCGGCCACCACTTCCATCCATCATTCTCACAAACCTGCGCTCATTGAGCAACAACGTGGACACACTAAGGACATACACAAGGTACCGTCATGAATCTCTTGAGGCCTCTTTATTATGTTTCACGGAAAGTTGGCTACAATCTACAAAGCCTGAATCTCTTTGAAGTACCCGCAGAAAAGCAGAACAGTGTGTATAATATATATCGCTCAATAATAAATGTAACAAGCCTACATTTCACACTTTATTTGTAGGCTTTAGGAGATATCTACAAATAAAGAGTAGAGTTAGGGAGTGTATAGGTGTCTGTTGTAATGAATATGCCGCCAGCAAAGGGCGTTGTTGGACTAACAGTAGGTGTGTGTGTGTGTGTGTGTGTGTGTGTGTGTGTGTGTGTGTGTGTGTGTGTGTGTGTGTGTGTGTGTGTGTGTGTGTGTGTGTGTGTGTGTGTGAGAGAGTTGATGTGCCAGGCAGACAGGCAGGTCTCAGTAGCTTATCTGACATAATTGGTCAAAAATGGTACATTCTTCGTTAGCCTACGAGCTCCCCGTTTGAGCGAATAACTATTCCTTCTCAATGTAGCATGACATTGGATATGCGTTGAAGTTGTCCTGGATTGAAATTTTTCCGATCATTCCCCTATGAGGAGTTTGCAGAAATGTCCTTAAAATGGATGAGAAACGCACATTTTTCCAGATGGCCGACTTTCTGGGGGGCGGGGCTAATGGAAGGCAATTTGAAATATGTGCAATCATAATAGCAATATGTATACAGCGTTTCGTGAATATTGGAAAAAGTATACGCGAGTAGTTTGGAGTAATTTGTGACATGTAAATCTTAAAAAATGGTGTATTAGCTTACGACCCTCCACGATTGAGCTATCAAAAATGTTCTTCTCAATTTAGCATCATATTGGATAGGGGCTAAACCTGTCCTGCATTGGAATTTTTCCGATCCTTCCCCTAGGAGGAGTGCGCAAGAACTTGCTTAAAATGGCAGAAAAACGCACATATATTTCAAAATGGCCCACTTTTTGGGGGGCGGGACTAATGGAATCTATTTACAAATATGTCCGCAATTCCATGAGGAATGTCTGTGCCAAAATTCGTGAAGTTCTGAGAAACTATATGTGACTACCACACAATAGGGGGCGTTAGTGAGCAGTTTTTTTGAAAATGTACGTTTTTTTTTTTACATTCTCGAAAAGGTCCTGGGCTCTGACGTGTGTCCCAAGTTTTGCGTCCGAAGCTCATTTTATGCTATCGCAATAAAAAAAAAATGTATAGGCCACGCCCACATTCTGCATTTGTTGCGACACTTTAATTCTGAGTTCGTAGTCACCCCGAGAGTATGTGTAAAAAAATAAAAATAATAATTCGTCCATCTGCTCTCGAGTTATAAATTGGTGGTGTTTTTGGCGCCCCCTATAGTCCTAAATGAAAATTATTTGGTGTGCCTATTTCCTAAGACAGATTGAACCTTTCCACCAAAATCTGTGGTGAATGGATACATTGTTGATGAGTTATGAGCATTTCTTTATAAGCCCCGCCTTTTTGCAAGTACGTTTTAATTCATGGCGGAAATATTTATGGTTTGAACATGCTCATCTCCTAGGGTAATGTGTCTGACCCTCCACCGATGCTGTATACGAAGTTTGGTGTTGAAAAACTGAAAATTGAAATTTAAGTGAATATTTAACTGTTTTGAACATTATGCTAATTTAAATTAAAAAAATGTAGGCGAAGCTTAGGGTTCCAAGAGGATAATTTGTAGAGCAGGTCCACCCGGATATGTGTGCAAAATTCCAGGTCATTTGGAGTTACGGTGCGACTTTGTACATTTATTCCGAAATGGGTTTTTCATAGGTGGCGCTAGCGAGCACGTTGGAATATTTAACCCATTGACTCCAGAATATTGAATTTTTTACCGGTCCTGGCGTCCATGCAAAATTATACAACTTTTTAAGCATCCTAAAGACCTCAAAAAGAGGAAACGCCAACACTATAATAATAATTCCACCAATAACAATAGGTGCCTCGCACTTCGTGCTAGGACACCGTTGGGTCCTAGCGCTCCGTGCTCGGGCCCTAATTAAAACTGCGGCCGCACTTGTACGCGCAGTGATGAGCGGGCCCTCGCGTCCGTGCGCCTGTCGGGGAGGGCAGCCGGTCGTCCCGGCGTCAAGCAGACGCTCGCGCGTCCTGGGAAATGAGCCGTTTCTCATTTCTATGATTTTCGCGTCCCAGACTCCCAGGTCCTCCGGCAGCGAGCCGGAAACGGATGTCGGCGCACCGTCTCGAAGGAAAACAAATTTCTCTAAAGGGTCGTCGAGGATCGATTATCGAGGAGGCTGTCTGGAGGAGCCGTAACCGAGGATACACAGATTTAGAGGAGAGAGGAGTTTTTGCGTGGCTGTGTCTTAGTTGCCCAGTCGCGATCTGTTCATCTGTCATACTGATCATACAGTCAATACCTTTTTTGTTATTAGCATCTGGTTAGCTAGCTATGCTAATGAATATAAGAAGCTTGTTCTCCAACCAGTGAGGTAAAGGCACATCTTTATATGAACATTATAGTTATCAAAAAACAAGAGAATAAAGTAAACAGGTATAAAATACGATATGACAGTAAACAAAAGTTGTTATTAATAAACAAGAATACATTTTGAAAGGAGTAATTTGTAAAAATATCCATAAAGAAAAAGTAAATCTGCTTACAGTTCTGTTTCATATGGGTGTTGAGAGATGTAACCATAGATCTCCTAATTTTGCTCTCAAAGTGCACCAGATTGATGCTTTTAAGTTCAACATTTAAGAAGAAAAAAAAAGCATGCCCCCCGGACCCCCCTAGAGAAGGTTAGGTCCCCCCCCCCCCCCACACTTAAATCATGTCCACATGGATAGGAAACTAAATACATTTGCACACATCTTGTGTCCATATCTTTCAGTTTGGTGGTCATACCACACCGTGCACGTGCATGCATGCGCGAGTCATGGCAAGATATCTGGATTAAGAGGTTGCTTTTTCTTTGCACAGCATGAAAGAAAGGCCAAATGAATGGGCTGTGATTTTTAAGCAGAGGTCAATCATTTGTACGGCCCTCGGAGAAAAAATTGAAATGGCCCTTGAGAGGAAAAAGGTTCCCCACCCCTGTCTTAGACAGACATATTTGCATGTCCTCACTAAGCATTATTACATATTAATTTAATATTAAACAAATCAAAATGGCCAATTATCCCAAAATATTGCTGCTAAGATCAAAAATCAATTCTCAAAAAATACTTGAATTATCTATGAAATTGCAATATTGTCCCTCAGTTTGTTTCAACCCCATCACGCCATAACCATTTACCCTCCTATTAAAATAATGGATCAGTCCATGTGTGGATCAGTCCATGTGTGGATCAGTCCATGTGTGATCTGCATTGAGGGAATTACATCACAAAAGTGTCAGTTTCTTCTCTTACCTATATTTCAGTTTTTGTATTTTCAGATTAAGATTGACAAGCTCAACATTTCAACTATGTTGTATGAATTAATAATAGTAAATAATTGTTTATTACAAAAATAAACAATAGTTTTGCAAAATATTACAATTTTGTAATGTTCTTGACTTCCATGTGGTGCCATATCTTAGCTAAACAAGGTCTCATGCCTACTTTTTGTCAAAAACTTCAACCCTGTTACATTTTTTCAAGGAAATTCCTAGTAATTATTTATATTGTAAGTATATAACATGTAAGTAGTCCACTACCAGATGTTATGACCAAACATTTTGGTTTCATTCAAAGATATAAAGACCCAAAAGGCACCCGATTCAGAGAATACTCAGAATCCTGCATACTGTAAGTACTTAATTATAATTAAGTACACAAATGACATCACCCATCTCTTCAGAGAGCTACAGGTGACCTGTGCAGCAACGCATTTCAATCAATATTTGTCAATACTAAGAGCTGCTAGATTGTGCTGCTGTAATGGAATATGTAAGGAGAATAAGAACATACCATGTGGTCCAGCTGGAGTTTCATCTGCCTCCTGATCCCTGCCTCTGGCCCTCGTTCTGATACTTCATCTTTATTCCTCACATATATTTCTTCTTCTTCACTAATGTCTTCATCTCCTCCTCTTCCTCCTGCTCTGACCCTCCTGGTCTCTTCATCTCCTCCTCTTCCTCCTGCTCTGACCCTCCTGGTCTCTTCATCTCTCTTTTCCTTTTCCTCTTTCTGTTCGTCCTGATCACTTCTCATATGTCTTTTTGTTGGTGTTGAATCACTCCTATACTCTGGCCTGCAAGAGTCTACTTGTGAAAAGCACTGGTACAAATGCTTGTATAACTTTACAAATTAGGGCCATGTAGCCTAGCTAATATGTAGCATATCATAAATATAACATCAGAAAGTATTGATAATGCGCACACAGGCAGCTGTGTTTGGATCCAGTTTTTACGGTAAAGGATGTATCCTGGTTTCATTGATCTGGCCTCATGGCTGTGATGTGTAGTTTTCGTGGATTTAATAGTAGGCTACCGCGTAGTTTAGCAAAGTGATCGATCTCCCAGCTAACGCTGTCTGCGTAGTATTTTGAAACGTAACGCCCCAAACAGCGCCCGTCTGTTAAACGCTATCGATTCAAACTAAAGCATTTTATTAATATTTAGTTTCAAGCTCTCGTCCTTAGTAAAACAAAACTAGTGGAAAGGGAAATGCTCCACACTCAAAAAAATGATTCAAGCCCTTCTTAGACTTGACACATTAAAAATTGTTTCACTTTACTTAAATATTTTTATTTAAGAAATAAACCTAAGTATAGTTCATTAGTGTAACACAAATTACATTAATCAATTCACTTATTAAATGTATTTAAGACAGAGCAACTCAAAATGAATTGTTTTCATTGGGGACCGCCCCTTTGCACACCCCCTTTGCGTATGCGCAACATCCGTTCTGTCATTTGCCGCCTTTTGTCTAACACTGACTGTGGAAACTGACTGGGGAAACTGACGGTGGAAAGTCTATTATTTGGTAAGTATTTGTTTTTTCTAGTAGTTTAGAATGTTCCCTGTTTCCAAGTAATGCCTTTTCATAATATCGACAAGAATATTTGAAACCACCTTGTTATATTTTGCTCCGTGTTTAGTTGGGTCTAAACAGCAAGCTAGCTAGCTTGCTAGATATGGTTAGCATTGAATACTGGATAGTAGAGATCATTAGATTATATTACATTAGATTTAACGTTATTGTCATTGAACACAGTACACCGAAATTCAGTTTAAGTTCAACCAAAAAATGCAAAGAGTAATTAAAGTGCATGAGGTAAAGCGGCAAGCTAGCTAGCCAGATAACTGGTTTGTTAGCTAGCTTGCTAGATACGGTTAGCATTGGATACTGGATAATGGAGATCATTAGATTATATTACATTCGATTTAATGTTATTGTCATTGAACACAGTACACCGAAATTCAGTTTAAATTCAACCAAAAAATGCAAAGAGTAATTCAAGTGAATGAGGTAACAGTATAGGAGGCAGAGCCTGCATGCAGCCCAGCAAGGGCTGCCATTTTCTATCATAAAGCTCAGCAGGTCTGTCCATCTCTCTCCTGGCCTTAGTGCAGGCAGGCAGAGGAGGACAGGCGGAGCCACTCGTTTCTGTAGGAGTTCAGTTGAGTTGAGTTTTTTACTGCCAAATATTTAATATAAATAATGAGATAATATATATGTGAATCTTGTATGGGTTACCTCACTCACAAGCAGGCACCCAGAGTTGTGCAGAAACGTTTTTTGGGTTGTGCAATCTTAGGCAATTATGTGTTTTCTGTGAAAATTCAAATATATAAGCATTTTAATCACACCTCTAAAATATATTTGTTGTCTTTTGCAGTTTGATCAGCATTAACAAGCACCTTGTGGAAACCTCTTATTTATGGTAAGTACACGGCTACTTTCACAATACTTGCATAAGCTGATCTGTGACATTGTCAGTTGTTCAGTGTCAATTGCTAATTCTATTTTTTCTCTTTTTCAGGTTATGCATGTGGCAGTGCAAACACTGCAGTTTGGAACTAGCTAGCAGGTATTTGTTGTTAAAACATTTCCAGCAGACACATGCACATTTAAGGGGCAGTTAAACTGTACAAATATTTGTATGTTCATCTTTGATATAATCCTAATGTGTTTCTTTCTTGTTATTCTTTCACCTTGTTTCTGCTCTAGATTAAAAGGTGTTCCATAACGGCAGGTCGGGCGCTTCTGCGCATCATCTTTGCCGACCAGTCTGACTCTAGACAACTGACCCTGGATTCGGGAATCCCAGCAACAGTTGAAGAACTGCACACATTTGTCAAGACATCTCTTCAATTGAAAGAGGACTTCCGTCTGCAATACATGAATGTTGACTTTAACGAGTTCATGAATCTTACATCAGTGTCTGAAATTCAGGATAAAAGCACACTGAAAGTAATTTACTCTCCTATATTGTCAAATATTGAGCTCTCCATCACTTTGTACACAGTTGACTCATTTGATAAGACCTCAATTACTGGAAGCTCAGAGCCTCTAATCCCTGCATCATCAATAGCCTCATGCTGCAGTGACGATATGGTGTATACGTCAACCCCGCATCCATCCCCTGAAGCTCAGGCCTCACAATTGTTATCCTGGCCCACAGTTTTTGTGGTTCCTAAGCTCACCTACGAGGCTGAATTTGAGCTTCATCTACAGAATGCAGAGTTTGAGACAACTGGTACATACTTCCAGCCTGGCCTAAAGCTGAAAGGAGTCATTCTTGATGGCCTAGCCCAAGAAATGATCAAATTCACAAAATATCCAAAAGACTATCAGTGTGAAGAGGTAGCTGCAGCGTTGACGAGGGCCCACCCTTGTTTGGGGCAGCTAGGATCAAAGACAGGATTTGGGGGGTGGAAACAGTCTCTTAAGTACAAAATGCAAAACTATCGTACAAAGCTTGGCCGTCTTGGACATCCTGAAATCCTTGTGAACTCCTTAAAGCACAAGAAAACAGGCCAAGGCAAAGCTGCAGCAAACATAAAAAAACCAAGAAAAGCTGAAATAAACTACATTCCTCTGCACCCAAAAGGCGAAACCACAGAAAGCTTGGAGAACGAGAGAATTGCCTTATTGTCAGAACTGAAAAAGCGTGACAATGAAGTGGTGATAAAAGCAAAAATGGAAAAAACCTTCTCCCACAGACGCCTTGAGATTGTGGAGCAAAGGCCTTTGATAGGGGACTTCAAATGCAGATGGCCTGCTCTGTTTCAGCAGAGTGAAGTAAGTACATATTTGTATTTGTTGACAGTCTTTTATTATTGTCCTTTGTGATTCATGTCTACATCCTTGCATGGTTGTGATTCTAATAAACAAGTAACAATTGGTTGTATTGTGCTTGTTAATAATATTTTTAAGGTGAATGCGGAGTTTTTGAGGATCACAACATCACCACTTCAATCAAAGTTCATGTGGCAGCTGGACCACTTCTCAGACAAGCTCTTGAAGGTCTTCAAGATCAAAGGAGGACTAAAGGGCCACAAAATCAAGGAAGCCCGTGCAATATCAGATTTGGTTAGTATAAATGCAGAGAACCTCGTTTTTCACTGTATTGTTTTTGTCCATGCTGATATGAACACATTTAAGAAATTGTCTGCTTTTATAGTGTTTTTAAGGCAATAGCTTATTGTGGAAATGTAGGGGTAAGGAGTCCTGCTTAGGGACACACACGACAGATACAGCCCTCTACTTTGTAGACCTTCTCTGTTGCACATGCATTGTGCTTAATTGTCTTTGATTTATCGCCCCTGCTTTAGTTTGAAAACATCCACATCAAGAGGGGGTGCATCCTGCGAAGCATCGCGATCTACCTCAACGAGGATCCAGACTCTTTTTTTAAGGAGTATCAGGTATGTTTATCACAATATGTTTTCAATGTAGTGGTTAACAGTGTTACCCACAATTATAACCACCATTACTTACATTTATAATAAGAAAATTCTATGGCACACAACCCTATCCCTGCTTACATCTAAATATCTTATCACATATCATAAATACATGCATAAATAAATAAATGTATACATTAATATAGGAATGAATATATGTAAGAATGAATAAATACAGAAATAAAAAAATAATAATAAATAGATACAGAAGTAATTTCATCGGGCAAGTGTTAAAATAAATATAGAAAAAAGTGAATTAATACATTTATACAGATATAAATACATCTATAAATTAACATAGGAATACAATTGATAAATACAAATGTGAATTAAAACATGAATATATCTGGAAATAAATACAAATAATAAATGAATGCTGAAATAAATATTTACATTTATATATAAATACATCTATAAATGAATAAATAAATATGGACATGAATACATATGTAAGAACTTATAAATAATTGAATAAATACATAAATAAATGCTGAAATATATTAATCAATAGATTCATGTTTAAAAAGGTATGTGAATGCAGCAATTCCTAAATTGTTAAAGGAATAATTACATAATCACATAAATCAAGGAAATAAATTATTAAATAATAAATAATCAAATACATATCGAAATAAGTAGGTAAATGCATAATTAACTACAGGAATAACAACAAATTACATGATTAAGTAGGGATGTAAACAAATAACTTAATACCTGAATTAATAAATAAGATAAAGTTGATAATCAAACAGAACATACAGGAATATATCTTTATAACTTATTTATGTAAACATTTTCTTACAAGCTTAATTTAGTTCTGTGTTGGAGGTCCTAACCTTCTCTGGTATCACTCTGGACATTTTTGTCCAAATTGGTAATTTTTCACATCAGATTTGGCTATAATGATTTTGTGTTTTTTCTAGATACTTTTTGGAATTTCAATTTTTCTAATCGGTCTCGAATACACTGTGTACAAATTACCCTAATTGTCCATTTAAAAAATGTCCCCCACACTTCCCAAAAAGTGTGGGGGAAAAATATTTAAATATAATATTGTTATCATATCATTTTATCATTCAAGTTTTTGAAAGTGGACTTTTTTATCCTGAGTGGCCAGATTGGGTAGTACATTTGAGTGATACCAGAGGGTTAGTCTAAAACTGTTTTGATCAATGAGGAGAGCCACATAAGTAAATCTGCTTCTATAAAATGTAGTAATTCAGGTTTTAGTTAACACATGTGTTGTATGCTTGTGTCTTTGTTCAGGCCTCTGCCTCTGAAGATGCCAAGAGGGACATGGCAAACACAGTCATGGGCATATACACACTTCAAAGAGATGTGGATGGGCAGCCAGAGGACGTGGGAATTGTCATCGAAGGCAATATAGTCATGGACAACTTGGGCAGCGTGATTGTGGGGTTTGTCATGCTATTGGGACTTATTTATGCCCTGGATTTGAGCTTTCCGGACAACCTCAAACACACCTTCGAGTTCATGCAGAAGGTAGTGATGAATCTGGATGGGCACAAGCTGAATGGTAAAATCGAAAGTCTGAAGATCAAGAAGTTCGATTGAAATGTGAAAAAGAAGTGACTCATGAGTTCATTGTTGTCATTTTATTCACGAGTTTCCTAATCAGAGCAGATTGAGCCGTTATATCAATCATTTGTTCTGTGCTTTTCTGTATTTGTTTCAACACACTGTAACACTATTTCCATATGTTGGTGTTTGCAGTGCACTCTTCATGTTATGTGTTATTGTCCTGTTAGAAGAGCAGTGCATACCCCTGTTATATTGTATTCATTGTATTTGGCAAAGGGAGATTTGTAAGTTAATTATAGGAGTTCCATTTCTCTGCCATTTTAAAAATGGTATTATCTTTCAGAAATGTTTTTCATCTTTCAGTGTGAATTCATTCATTTTAAAACACTGTATTGAATGGAATGGAGGATTGTTTTGAATCATGTGAATTTAAAAATAATAATTGGTTGCGACCCTTTAAATCTCAGTTTATACTCACCCTGCCAGTATGTCTATGACAAAATATATTTATTTCGTCCATCGGTTCTTGAGATATAAATTAGTTGTGTTTTTGGCGCCCCCTATTGTCCGAAATGAGCATGCTTTTTTGTGCCTATTCCCCAAGACAGACTGAACCTATCCACCGAAATCTGTGATATTTGGATACATTTCGGTTTGAATTGTGAGCATTTATGTCTAGGCCACACCTTTTTGCTAATACGTTTTGATTGATGTCGGGCCACATTTTTCCACACCTGGTGCTCATTTTCTACGGTAATGTGTCTGACCCGGTTGTGCACCAAGTTTGGTGTGGAGAATCAAAAAATTGGAATTTAAGGTAATATTTCGACCTGCACGCAGGTAACACCAAGAAATCACGCCCCCCGAGACAGCTGTCCGAAAACAGCTGACACTAACCACATCACCACAACACTATGAAAAAACAAACAGAAGCAACCCAAGGGGAAACGCCACTTAAGCCTAGCGGGGGAAACTCTTTACAAAAGCGTAACAAGCAGCAACATCTTACCTTCTGATTGGCACACATTACATTACATTTAGCTGACGCTTTTATCCAAAGCGACTTACAATAAGTACATTCGACCAGGAAGACACAACCTTGAAGAAAAGAGAATCATATAAGTACATCAGGTTTCATAGAGCCAAACATTTCAAGTGCTACTCAACTGGCTTTAGATAAGCCAGTCCTTTATTAGTATATAAGTGCTTTGGTAATAGTTCTATCGCTCGAAGTGGAGTCGAAAGAGATGAGTTTTCAGTCTGCGCCGGAAGATGTGCAAGCTATCTGCTGTCCTGATGTCAATGGGGAGCTCATTCCACCATTTTGGAGCCAGGATAGCAAACCCACGTGTTTTTGCTGATGGGAACTTGGGTCGCAGCGAGGGTGCAGCGAGTCGTTTGGCTGATGCAGAGCGTAGTGCACGCGCTGGGGTGTACAGTTTAACCATGTCCTGGATGTAGGAAGGGCCAGATCCAGTCGCAGCATGGTAAGAAAGTACCAGTGGCACACAAAACCTGACGCCATGTCAAACACTAAAGCTTCCTGAAACCCAAAAAACATGATGTGTCCCATATACCCAACCCAAATAGCAGCTCAGAGCCAGCACACAGCTGGACCACATTAGTGTTCATTTCGTCAGCTATTTTTTTTATTTAGTTTTAGTCTTAGTCCTGTGTTAAATTTCCTTTTTAGTTTTAGTCATATTTAGTCACCTTCATCCTGTTTTTATTTAGTCAAGTTTTAGTCGACTAAAAGTCTGAGCATTTTAGTCTTATTTTAGTCAAAGAAAACTAATTATTTTAGTCTACTTTTTGTCAATGAAAACTGTTGAGTCTTTTTTAGTCATCAGATTATATAGAACATTTCAGTCAAACTAGTCTAGCCAAAACCAATAATTTGTCATTTTAGTATATATAAATAAATAAGATTATATCTTGTCCTTATTTGATGAAAAACACAGGTTGAATGATTAAGAAGCTTTGCAGAGAGTATCTGTTCAGGTTTGTGGTGTTTTTACCAGCTGTGTTATGGCCACATTGCTTCCCTTCTGATAAAACAATGCATTCGCTTTTTTTCTCCGCCTCATTGGCGAAAATGGGCCCAAATATCACATCGTTTCTTTCTGCCAAGCAGTGGTGGCTTTAGACTTTTTCGTTGTCAGTCATTTTGATGGACAGGATCGTAACATTTCCGTCATAATCCATTATTATCCGTCGAGTGCACAATTTATCACTCACTCGCGCTGACGGGGGGTATTCGGTTAACGCGAGTGCGACCACTGCTCCCAAGCCCTGTTGTTGCCATTTTATTTTCTGTTAAATAAGGTTAGTTAGACCATGAGTTAGACCATGGTTGCGTTCCGATAATCCGCTCCTAAATTCTAACCCTATCTCCTATTCCTTGACCTCTGAGTGAAACGTCACGGGGTTAAGGGATAGTGGATAGGAGAATTCAAAAGGACTTAAGAGAAGAGACCGCGGTACTTTAGAGAATCCGACTGCACTTTCACTATCCGACGTGTTTCTGATGCGCCAGCGGACGTCATGAATGTGCGTCTGCTGCTGTGGGGTAACCATGGAAACTACAGTTCTCTATACAGCGGACTACAACATGGATGTTCAATAAGAACGAGGGACTACTGTAAACTCATCTAGAGATTCTGCACCGTGCTCTGATGCTGTTGTTTTATGCTTTATGAACGTGGACAACAGAGAAACATATTCTTCAGGACCAAAGTTGGAATTGAAATTAAAAAGGAAAGTGAAGCTTCTGCTCGTCACCCTCTCCCTCCGGTCCACATTAATACAAATGATCCCAATACGTATGATTGATGAAAATATCTTAAAATAATAAATGTATTTATTATAAACGTTAGTCCTTAACATCTATCACTGAGTATATCACCATTCAAACATCTTTTAAAAGTTGAACAAACCCCACACAGCTCAGTAAAGACTGTGAGATGTTGACTTTATTTGATCATTTCAGTAAAAACTAACGTTCATATTTCTCTTTTTGATTATAATACTGATTAACGTTCAGAACAAAGCACTTTGGCAACTTACCACATACGTTTTAAAAAGCTTAATAAGCACCGTAACTTTCATGATATAATTTCTCGGTCATAATCGGTTGTTTCCGTGAACGGCCGACTGTTGTGATGGCAAATGCTGCGGCTGCAATGCATTGTGGGGCAACATTTTCTCCTCTCCTTTCGGTTAGGGAGGTCCAGTGGTTCCGAAGCTAAAGGAGGTTATAAAGGAAGTTTGAAACCTCCTTTCCTTTCATTTGGAGAATTGGAACGGCACTTATCATGGCTGCCACTGAGGGACTTCCGGGTCATTTCACTCCGTCAGGAAGGTTCCTAAGCTAAATGGACTATTGGAACGCAACCCATGAGTTAGACCCGAGTCTTCCTGACAGTTCACAGTGTGCCGCTGCCCGGTGTAATTCAAAAATACCACCGCGCGCAGCACAGACACACAGCTGCTGCCCTGCCGCAGCACCGGAAATGGAACTGCTGGGAGAAAAACTGACTGATCAGAGATGTAACGTTATCTTTGATAATATTTCGTCTCCTCATTTTTCGTCAACGAAAGTAAAGAGAGATTTTGGCATCGTTTTTATTTAGTAAACTACATTTTCGTCTCGTCAGTTTTCGTCAACGATATTGCATGATGATTTCGTTAGTTATTGTTTACTGCCGTCGGTGCCGTCTCATCATCGTCTCGTTTTCGTCATGGAAAAAAAGGTCGTAAAAAAAAAAAGGTCATATTTCGTCATAGTTTTAGTCAACGAAATTAACACTAGACCACATCAACTAATTAGCTGCTCAAATGACGCCATGACGCTCCGAGCACTACACAAACTTTTAACCAAATAACCCGTAGGACGAGCCCCCATTCGTTATGACCTGGCTCAAAAGGCCACAACAAAAAGGAGACACACCATGTCAACGGTTATCAAAATATGTTTATTTAAAGGAAACAATCCAAATTAGCCAAATTAAATGAAGTGCAACAATAAGTAAGGCATGAGGTGTGGACGTCAGTGGTATCAGTAGTGTAAATGCAGGGTGAGGGTTGCATGAATGTGTATGTGTGTGAGTGTTGAGGTGCACAAAGTAAAGCAACTAAAATAACAACAACATATACTCAACAAAACCGGGGGCCTGTAGGGAAAAGCAGAGAGAGCACAGAGAGGAGCAGAGAGGCTCTAAATAGCTGCAGGACACCAGACCCAGGTGCCCTGAGCTACTGCAATCAATGCAAACACCAATCACCACAGCACAGACAGGACACCTCCTCTCTACTGATGCACCCACAGGGGCATCACACAGACCATAATAACCTGAGAGGCTGTCCAACAGTATCATCTGGGACCCAAAGCATGCTCCAACAGAGAATCTGAACTGCTACCATCTAATGGAGATTCAATAAAGTCAGACTGAAGCATCCTTTGTGCTCCAGTCAGTCCTCTCAGTAAACACAGAGCTACAGATCAGATGCACGCTGAAGGCTCTTTGAGCAGCTCTCACTGATCCTGCTGTTATGTTACATGTTTGTTTCTCATGTATTGTGTTTGTCTTATGTGTCTATGTTGATGTTACACATGGAGCTGCTGTGATGCAAGTCACATTTCAGACTTGATCTGACAATTAAAGAATCGTATCGTAGACAACAACGTTCTAACCATATTGCGCATTCATATAGTATATTTCAAACAGGTTGTGATCTTTCATTTGGGGATAACAGTGTTAGGCATTCGTGAGGTGCAACAACATTAACATGAACCTTTCTGTTGGCTGCTTGTTAGCAGACCCTCCACGCGATAGCAGAGCGAACAGGTACAGCAAGCGAGGGATCATTGTCCACGAGTAAATTGATTACAGATGGCGTCGTGCTCGCGGACGGATACAAAAATAATAATGAATGGGTCGGGAAATATACTTTAGTGGCCGTTAAACCTGGGCGGCCCAAGTAAAGTCTATGCGAGGGAAACCCTGGACTTGAATTTTGAATTGAGCCGTCGCTTATAGATACTGTGGAAGCTATTCAGTATTTTTCACATTTATTTAATCTATTTATTTGTTATATTTTGTTTTGTAGAATTAATTTACAGCCATATTATTTGAGTTAAGTTGTGTTCCAGCTAAAATGCTTTTATTTTGAAGGTGATGGGTCAATTTGGGCACACAGCTGGGTTTATTTAAGTCAATCAGGGCACAGCAGCAGTCAGTGGGCACCGGGAAGGTCTATGGTTTTTTACCAGTATCAGGGCTGAGTTCAGCAAACATTTCAACACCTTTTGCTGTATTGATCTTGCCAAGGTGAAGCTAATAAATATCACAAAAACGTCGATGCCTTGTCTGGACAATGGACTCATTACCAACTCATGATCTGCGTAAG